CTGGTTGAAGTAAAAATAAACTCTGAAACGAACTCTAAATTTAGACTACTCTAGATAATAAATGAAGCGGTCGAAAGGATTCTCTCTAGTTAGACTAAAATTAAATTTAAATCAACGTCTAAATTATAATAGATAAAATAACGAGAGAACGCTGTGGGCAAAAATGCGTGCGCAGATTGATCAAAGAACCTGTCGATTGAAAATTAAAGTCTATTTTGCACATAATAAAATCGTAAGCGGTTTTCGATATAATGTTGCGCAATCTGCGTTACGCTAATAGTATTCATCGGGTGAATTCGCAGATCACGATATTACAACGGTTTAGTATTACGTGCAGCCGATGATGTCACACGTGCGCGCCTGCGTGGCTCAATAATGTCGCGCGGTCCTCATTAATTTGCTCAATGGAGCGTCGACGTACAAACTCGGTCGAAACTCATTGCGTTAACAAGTTCAAATACGAGGATTCAACCGAAATTCAGGCGAACTTTGTAGACGAGAAATTGACAATTTTTACTGTCAAGGAATATCACGGAATTTCCTGATTATCGACTAATTATTTATATTATATAAAATCATTTTTTTATTTTTTATTTAAACAAATTTTTTTAATTATTATTATAAAATACTTTTCAAACCATTCATTTATTAAATTATCAAAACATTCTTTTCTGTCTATTACAGTTTCAACGATATTAGTTTCGAAAAAAAAAAAAACCGATTTTCTTCAAAGAGAGATTGTATCTTCTAAAAATTGAGTCCTTGTAAAAAAAAAAAGTGTTTCTTATTTTTGCCTGAAAAACAACATCAATTCATTCAAAACTGAACATCAAAAGCAGAAAGGATACTTCTATGGGTTTCCTTGTGAGAATTTGTAATTGAAAATGACTAACTAGAAAATTCTGATTATATCAAGAATTCAGATTTATCTCAACTAGAATTATAGTAGATTCAACTAGAAAATTCTAATTTGTCTATTTTCAACCAGAATTCTAATCAATGCAATGCAACGCGACTCTTTTTCCGGTATTCCCCGTTTCTGCGAAACTTGTACAAAGCTATGTTCTATATCGAAATTCTCCCTTTCTCGTTATATTTCAATAATGATGACACAACGAGAAGTGGGTGTAATAATACAGATATACTTCCAATTTCTGCCACGTAAATCTCGCACTGAATCGAATTTTCAAAATGTATGATATTTTTCGATTTCTTCCGAAGAGAAATTCGCTCGAATGAATTCTTCAGCGAAAGATCTTGTTGCATTTCGCGGAAGATATACCGAATCTCGTTAACGGGAAACTGTCGACCTTCATGATTCCAGAAAGAAATAAATTGATAAGTCGTAACCGCGTCGCGTCGTGCCGGTATATATGATGCTGTTCCGTGAAATTCCGATGAAGAAAGAAAGAACGTGGGCGTTCAGATAATCCTGTCTCTTTTCAGAAAATCTGTGTCTCTCGACAATTTCCAGCTCTCACCGACTAAATCATTTACGAAGAACTGAGAGATTCACTTAATGCAATTGCGTAAAACACTGCAACTGCGTATATGCATAATCTGCAATAATTATAACATTATATGTGTAAAAAATTCAATCCTCCAAGCTTTTACAAGTAGCTTACTATTCATATTATTCAAAAGCGATGATTTTTATCAACTGATTCTGTAAAATTTGCGCAGTCATTAATCTCTTTACTATAACAATTGTACAATACAACTGCGCTAATACATGTCTAGTTAATACCCGATATATTTTTATAAATATGAAAATATTTTATTGTTATTGCTATAATTTTGACTACATTAGAATCAATATTTAAAAATATTATTTATACATTGCCTATAAATTAAATATGTTCCTATTTATAAATAAAAATACAGAATTTAATAAAAAAAAATATTCATATCGATGTATCCTTTTTTTTTCCAGAAATCAACTTGCCACTTCTTCTTTGAATAGCTTCAATGAGTTACGCGATTTTCGCACAATGCAATCATGTAAAGGGCGCGAAATAAGCTTATCGGGGAGGACTAGTTCAAATTTACACAACGAGAAGCAAATTCGTCCCACCCGACTCCGGATCGTTGACGAGGGGCGGTTGTAACTCCAATAATAGTCGTTGTAAAGTGGCCACTGGCATTCGAGCACTGGACAGGAAACGATGAAAGGGGAGGGGGAGAAATGGTTAATTCATGAAACAGTAACCCTTTCTACCTTCCACGTTCGTTTAGAAATGCCGGAATATCGACGAATGCGCAGATCTTTCTCGTGATCTACGTGCTCGTTCAACGAAGTGAACGTGAATCTTTTTGAAAATTTCGTTTCCCTCGAAAATTACCCGATCAACGCGAAAATCGATATCGTGCGCAAATTAATTTCGCCGATCAAGCTTGTTTTACTATTTATTATTTATTGTAATGAATGCAGCACTCGATGCCTGTAATTAATTCCTGCATAAATAGGCTGCTCGTTTAACGAAACAATATGTTAGGAAATTATGACGTTAACATTAATATTGATGCGGATATTAACAGAGAGTGTTAATTTACTTTTAATAGTACCTCTTGGATTTCTGTAACGAGAAGAAGGTTGAATTTAACGTATATAAATGCACTCTGAAAAGCTTCCGGTGCGCTGCGGTGCCCCGCGAGGAGATGTCAAATATTTAAATGCCTCCAATGCGAATATTACGCTTTTAAGCCGCCATGGTTGCACTTTTATCGTACACAACAAACGCAAAATATTTCCGTAAAATTCTGTTGTTCGTGATTCCAGTTTATGCGAAAAATTATTTCTTGATCGTTTATGCAAAAAATTATTTCTTATAATACATAATGACTGAATGGATACTAATATTTAAGTATCAATGTTCACTAAATATTAATTTTTATTTTAATTAAATATTAAAAATTACGCTCTAAATTCTTTCATCTAATTCCATTTGTACTCTCTAAATTTTTTTTATTTAGAGTGAAATCTCACTCTAAGAGTTAAAATACCGCCAATATTGAAAGAGTGAAAAATTTGCACTCTTGAATGAGAATGATAGATTTTCACTTTTTTTTTGGAATAAGATTCACTCCAACTTCGGAATCCAAAGAAAAGAAATCTTACTTCTTTTTTGAATGAATCTCACTTCAAAAGTGTAAAAATTTACTCCAAAAGAGTAAAAATCTGCCACTCTTATTCAAGAATGTAAATTTTTTACTCTTTTTCAATAATGGCAATATTTTAACTCTTTTTGAATAAGATTTTACTCCAAGAAATTGAGAGAATAATAAAATTATTCTAAAATATACCTATAATCTATTTAAATAAAAAATGTAAAATTCATGTTCATTTTTCAATATAGATTAATGTCGGTTTAATTTATTCTTCCTCTTTGTCTGGTTCCAAGAAATAGAAAAAGATAAAGAATAAATTGAACCAAGATTAATCTACGTTGATAGAAATAGGCTCCAATAATAAAAACGTTACAAGAAATTGATAACGAGATTAAACTGGAAAACAACTCGTGTTGTGCGAAACGGCCTGCGTAACCACAATAAATAATGAGTCGCACGAGGATCACACGAGCGAATAAATAACGCGTATTTCGCGCGCTTAAACGGCTAAATGAACGAATGCCAGAGGTCGAATGGCTGATTCATGAAATGTGCCCGCGAAATCGACGATCAGAGGATTTTGCGTGGAATCCACAGGTTTTATGTTCGGCGTGCGCTTCGTCGCAACGAAAATGTTCCTCCTTTTTCTCTTGTTTTTTCTTTTTTTTTTTTTTTAATGAAAACATGTTAAACGGGCACATATATATATAAAATTGTCGCATTGACCCGTGAATATTCCATATCGATACTGCACGCGCGAATTACAGACGCACCGATTAATATCCATTCGACTACGCGCATGACTTTAAAATATCGTTTCGAGCAATATACGCAGCGTCGCGTTTTAATCGTCGGTGAATGTAGCGGACAGTTTCCGGAAATTATGTCCGTCGGTGATCCTATATTCTGTACTCTGACACAACGTGTGTTTTATCGCGAAAAATTGCGGTAAACGCCAGTACACTGGCTCGAAAGTTGACAGCGACGCGTTCAGCGCTGACGTTAATAAAACTTCAACTTCGTGAAAATGCAGCAGCGTGACATGACGAGTATCATGTCGCGTGTCCAATTTTTTTTTTAAAAACATGATATAATAATCATTAAATATTCCCATACATAACAAGTGATTTCATATAAAAGTAAACAAGCGCGAGAAACCGCGCGTATCAAATGCGGAAATGCAAATGTCGTTATACGCTTGAGTAATGCGCAAAAGAGATTATTTACTTTTTTTCGGTGTAATCTCGAAGGAATTACAATCGAGAAAAACTTGTCGGCGACGTGCGTGCATACGTAACGCTCATTATAGTCAACGACATTTGCAGAAGTTTGTATACTGAGAGAAAAGTGTTTGGTATTTATGATTTTAATTATATGGTAAAATAATTATAGTTGGAAACTCCAATTTTGTAGTTATTACTGCTGTAATGTTAGTAATAACAATAATATATTTATAGTTCTACAAAAAGTATGAAAATGATTATAAATTATAGTTAAATTATAAGTGCAAAAATTTTTGTTCGCTCAGTGTACACTGATAAAAGTTTTTGGTATATTTGTGACTACAATTACATGGAACTATACTTTATTTTGATACTATTACTGTAGTATATTACTATAATATTAGTAATAATAATTAGATATATTTAATTTTATTAAAAAATATATATAGTTGACATCGAAAATGATTATAAATATAATTATTATCATAAAAGTTGCAATTATCACAATTTAACTATATTTTGATGGAACTATAAATATAATTATTATTACTAACATTTTAACAATAACAATCATAATTTTGGGATACCATGTAATTAATCGTAAATACCAAAAACATTTCTCTCAGTATAGAAGCTGTAAAAGCTAAAGAAATCTTTAAGTATACTCACGAGATTTTGCAGGCTCTGGTGGGGCGACTTCCATCAACTGCAAAAGAAAAATTCAAGACTCAGTGTTTACTCAGAACAATCAGCTTTTACGATCATATTGTATTCTGCCGGAAGGGATCAAGCCAATCACGCTTGGACCATCCCTTTTTGTAAAATTTAATTTACTATTAGAACATTAAACGAGACGTCTCGTGCACATATCTACCGAGAATTATATTCGCTTCTACAAAATGGCATACGGCAAATAACTCGGGCATAGTTTACACATAGTTTGTCAAATAACGTCGGGGTAAGGATTTAACGTTGCAAAAGGGAACGAAGGAGGAAAGTTCGTGAAAACAACAGCGGGGAAATTAAACGGATCTGGGAAAATTTGTAAAGGGAACCGCGAGAGTGTACTTTGTCTCCTCGCTTCTCGTTTCCGCATCGAGTAATTTACAACGCGTCCCCGCGCGTCTCCCTTGATACCCGAGGACCCTTGTCCCGGTATAATAGAAATTTATCGCGCGGTTTGGCCGGCCCTTTACATGCATTCTTGTAATCGCGAATGAAATAACATCTCAGTCTCGGCGGTGCTCCCGCGAAACTTGACGCGGAATAATCAACTTGTAACCGCGCCAGCCAAGTGTCCGTAAATAAATACAGTAAAAAAAAAAACAGATTAACGACTACGCTATTATACAACAAATTACCGAAACTATTACTCTAATTAAGCAGCAATTGTCACTAAATTTAAATTAGCCCGTAAGTAAATATTTCATCAAATAACAGTAAAATTAATCCTATCACTACATTTAAAAAAATACTAAATTGTAATAAATATTTGTTTAAATAGTTCTAAGTAAATATTTACTAAATGTAAACATATATTTAGTTTGAAAATTATTAATTTGTAAAAACTTTTTACAGGAGAACCATTTAATTTGATTCGACTATCATTTTTTTTTATTGATTAAATATTTGTGTACAGTATATGTTAACTATTCAAAGAAATATGTATTAAGATTTAGTAATTTTTTTCTTCAGTGTTACGCGATGCGTGACGTGGTATTAGAGAGATCGAGCATAAATTTCCATATTTCTCACACACAACGCGGACACCACAAAGCGCACGCACCTGCTTGAATTACCTGCTAAACGATAATTATACAGTCTACAAAAAGCCGGTATTATACCGCGTAACGATTCCTTTCATCTGCGAGAGCGCGAAGTCGACCACACCGGTCGGATTCCACCGGGCGCCGTGCAATTTTGCGAACGCACTCACGCTATTTCATTCCCGGTAAGTCCGCGAGTAATTCTTGCGACGTTTGAGCGGAGAAAACGCCGGCAGCGATTTTGCATTCGGCCGTTATTACAATTTACTCGCGCGCGCAAAAAGGAATCCCCAGCCGGGAATGTATATGTATGTGTTCATATATATATATATATACATATACAGCGGTCCGAATTAATCCACTTTTACGAGGCCGATTTCGCCCAGTCTCCTATCCCTCCTCTTTTATCGCGCACTTTTTTCTCCAACTCTTCGCCAAACCTTCCGCAGTTTCGTCGGCGGGACGCGAGGAAGAGAGGAAACAAATTTATAATACGCAATGCAGTCTCCTGCAGCGTGTCGGTCTACAAATATCATGCAAAGTCCTACCAGACGTTATAAATCGGTTGCGGCGGTTTTGATAAACGATGTGTAAAAGCGGTGAAAGTTTCGTAAAAACTTTGAGAAATCCGATCGACTGATAAATAACGTGTATAAATTAGAGAATCCTAATTCATCTATTAATAATTTTAACACAATCATTAAATCTTTCGACAGTAAATTATGGGTTCTTTAATTCTTTTCTCTTTTCTCCGCTTTTTTTTTGTTTTCTTTTCTTTTCATTTATATCTTGAACTATGTTGCTCAATATTCAATTACAATTATAATTCTTGGTATTCCGTTTTTCGAAAATTTATTTATTATACAACATTTATATTAAAGTTTATATTAAAGTTTATATAAATCTTTATCACTTGCTTTTTTAATTATTTCATGGTCCTTAATTATGCACAGAAAAAAATGTTTGGTTGAATTAGAATTCTGATGGAAAATGAACAATCCAAAATTTTTGTTAAATCTACTAGATTTCTGATTAAATCTACTAAATGTTGGTTATTTCAACTAGAATTTTAATAGATATAATCAGAAATCTTGTAAATATAATTAGAATTCTGGATCGTTCATTTTCCACCAGAATTCTAGTTAATTCAACCAAACATTCTTTTCTGTGTGTGTGTGTGTGTGTGTGTGATTTTTACTCTTGTTTTAAATGTACTAAAAATTTTATAACATCGAATAAAATTTAATCTGATCTAATAATTTAATGCTGTATGCTGCATACATTTTTTGTATTTTACAATAAAATAAATAAATAAAAACTATTTTACTGACAAAATTTCAACACTTTTTCCCTAAAAATAAATTCGACTGTGTCTCATAAATCTTTTAAATGATAGCAGACAAAATGTAAATTACATTTTAATATCGGGAAGATAAAGGATCCACTCTTTATTTATCAACGTTATCGCGATAAGATTTTTATCAAGCTGCAAAAACGTGGCTGAAAAGAGTGGACGGTCATATTAGTTTCGTCTACAGTTTTATTTACAAAGTAACACCATTTTTCGCGGAGCGCGCGGTCAAGCGACGGAGTTTTTACGTCGGATGAGTGTCACCGCAAAAGAGACGCCGCTTCAAGAAGAACGTATCCCGAATTAAACTGGCGCTCTTACGAGCCTTCTCTCTCTTTCATCCGGCGTCAGTCGACCCTGCTGTGTGTTCCAACAACCCCGTTTCTCCTCTCGTCGCCGTCGGCGCATTATGGTCGCGCTGTAGCTTTTGAGAGCAGCAAACGTTTGATACATTGCCAAGTAGCACGGGACCTAGCTCGAATTAATGCGATCCGAGACATTTCCCACCCGGTCGACATTATTGCTCCAGAATTATTCGCCCGCAGGTATCAAATATTCCATCCGTCTAAACGATGCCTCAACAACGATAATCGCGAATTCCGATCAATTAAACGCTCGATTAGATGATCAGCTAAACATCTTCGTTAATGTTAATGTTAATAATTTCAATTGAAAAATAGCTCGACCGTGTCTTTAGAAATTTAAGTCATATATTCTAAGTGCGAAAACATATCAACAAGTAATTAATTCGAGAATAATTATCACGGGTGATTTTTACATCTCAACAACAAGAAAATAAAGCATATAATAGTTATATGCATATAGTAGTTTTCTTTACTGATCAGAAATTTATATCTATTTTTTGTACTTCTTATTTAAAAAAAAAAGTATCGAATATATCTATACATAATAATCTCAAATATTAATTAACTATAGAATAATTAATAATATACATCTCATATAATTAAAATGATAACTTTTAATTGAAGTATAAAAACACCCTAAATATAATTAATAATGTGACTTTTTAATTTCATAAAAACTCTCCAAGCACAGTTGGAAAAATTATGTTAAGTTTAACATATTTCACATGTCCTAAACAGTCCACTCTTTTAATGTTAATTTAACACAAGATGAATATATCAGAAAGTAACATAAATATTAATGAAAAAATATACACAACACTACTGACACAATTTGTAAGCAATTATATTTCTTCATCAAAATTAACATTTATAACGTATTAAATTAACATGTTTCAACATATAATATAACATATATTATAAATTTAACATTTATAATGTTTAATTTAACACATACATTTTATTCATTTATCTTATAAAATTTATGTTTTACAAAAAGATAATTTTTATGTTGTTTGTTCACTTTCTCGTAAATCATGTTATTTTAATACAAAGGAACGTTGAATATCAATTTAATATAAAATATTCAAATAACACTATAACATTATATTAAATTGACACTATGTTAAAAATTCAACACGAAATTTGAACAAAAATTGAAATGGATAATTTCTAATACAAATATAAAATGTTTTTTTATGGTAAGTGATTGTTTATATAAAAAAAATTAGGTGACTATTTTGAAATTAAACGTAACACGAAAATCTCTTTAGAAATAATCATTCGCAAAGCCAATAATATATGTGCGTGTCGTATGCACCGCGTACGATTATTGCGAATCTCTACGTTATAATTTAGCACGAGATTAGCGTTCGAGTCACCGTGACTCGTAAAATGCTAATTCTCTCAAATAAGACATTACGCGATGCTTCTCTTCCTCACCTTGTCTCATCCACGAAACCCGCTGTCTTTACATATCCACGCGCAGAATTACACGCATACGTACGCACACCGACACGCAGAGCGACGCTTGACATCGTGCCAAGTGGCACGAACGATTCAAAATGTTGGCGAGATCGATATCACGCTTGTGAGTTATCACGCTCGCGAGAGAGACAAGCGCGAAATCAATCTCGGTATTTTGCACTCGTCTCTTTCGCTTTTCCCAAAAATATGCGCGCTTTCGACAACGAAGTTCACGTTCACGCTATTCTGATTGAACGTAGTATACAGTAATATACAGGGTGTCGCGAATTTAAATGTCAAAAGTATCCGAAAGTATAGAGAATCGACATATTAAGAAAAAAGTGTAAATAAATAAGCGTAAATGAATAAGTATGAATAAACAAGTACAAAAATAAAAATTGCGTTTTATCTTTTTTTACGATTTTCTCCAAAACGAAACAAAAATGATATATCTAAAGGTTTTTGATTTTCTTAGTTTATTGATTTATACGCTCTCAAAGTTTTAATATTTAAATCCAGGACACAGTGTATGTATCATATAGTTCTCTGCTTTATCTGAATTCTAATATCATGATTGATAAGCACCAACTCTTTCTATATCGCGCAAAAAGCGAACGTTTTATTACGATAAAAAATTTCTATCTTTTGAGAATATTTTTTTTTCATTTTGTTACCCTCCTTTTTATTATATTATTCAAATAAAAATCGAGAGCAACGAGGTAATTGTAATAGAAAAAAAATATTTCGCACAAAGAAATTTTTCGTAAGAAATTTTCTTCTTTATGAAATAGTTCGCAGCTAGTAACAGGATTCTGGAATCCCCTTTAGAGCAAAATTACGAATGTCAAAATACTTTTTTTCAAGCAGAGTAGTGATTACTCTCGAGTCCCCGTTTGCCATTTTGATCGGCGAGATATACGAGCTAGTTACGATAAGTGGGTGGATCGATCGATTCTTACCTTCGCCAGAAGAGGGTTGAAGGTGAACTTGGATTCCTGCTCCTTTCGCGGTGTCTGCGCAATCGCCGTCAGTGGTGTAAGTGGCACGGTCATCTCCTGAAATGACAAAAAAAAGAATGATCAGAAAAAATGATAAAGAATGAGTTAACAAATCAGCGCATTAATCTTAGAATGTATACGGACATCTTCAAAATGTTACATTTACTCTTTTTGACATCATTTGATCCTTTCCGATCATTTTCTTTCTTGATTTCTTTTTTACTCAATTTATACCGTTTATACTTATCTCTCAATAATATTTGATCTAATTAGAAATTAATAAAAATTATATCCTCTAGCTATTTATTTTTTTGTACAAACATTCATAAGCTTTAAGTAAAGTAGGTAGCCGCATATAATTATCTTAAGAACCTTGTTCTGAAAAAGTAATTCTGGAAATTAAAAAATATTGCAGAAGTCTTAAAATTCATTATTTTGATATTTTTCTACCTCATAAATGCAAAATAATGTAAATTTAACTCTATAAGCAAAACATTAAAAAATATGACAAAAATAAAATTATTTAGTTTCTGAACATCATCCACCTATACCTACTAAAAAGATAAGGAAGCCATGCAATCTATAATTAAACTGCTCAAATATGTGATAAAATTACGTTGCCATATATGAGATACTAATCAATGTATAAATATTGAGGAAAGATCTTTATGTAACTGATGCGAGACACACACACACACGCACACACGCACACATGCACGCACGCACGCACGCACGCACGCACGAGAAGAGATGATGAATTCATTTCTTCGCGTACCACTTAAGGCATGAAAAAAAAAGTGGTCGCAATTCGACAACACGTTTGCGTAATTGCGAGCGGCATAACTGGGACACGATTACGTCAATGTCCACGAGCAGAACCTTGCCGAACGAATTCCACACGCGAGTGTGAACAACCACACGCAAATGACCCTTGAAACACGCACACACGTCCAGGAGTAGGTGGTGACTCTTAAGCGACGTCTACAATGAGATTTTAAGGCGTGAAACTTAAGCTTTAATAAGCCTCAAGTAAAAAATTGACTAATTACGATAAAATGTGAGGAGAATACGATTGGTCAATTTATTATGGTTTAAGGCTTAGGTTTAAGTTTTATACCTTAAAATCTCATTGTAAACGCCGCTTTACGCCCGATTTCACCAATGTAAGATTAACTTTAATCTTGGTTCAACTTATCCTTTTGTAATCTAGGAATTACAAAAAGATAAATAATAAGTTAAACTGAGATTAAAGTTAATCTCTTACATTAATGAAACTGAACCTTAAAAATCTAAAGTTAAACCACTGCAAGTGGTAAATTTCACTCTCCATTTAATTTCGATTGGTCTTTTTTAAGTAGAATTTTAGTTACTCGATTATTACAAAATATGCTTAATAATAAAATAAACGCATAAAAATAAATGACGTTTTAAATTAAAAAATAAACTTCTACGTAAAATAGTTACAAAGTATTTGAATATTAATATAATAAATAATATTGATTCAATATTAGTTAAATAGACATAAACATTAATAATTCTTCAATATCTTCTCTCAATTACACTACCCTCCCAAATTATAACAATAAATTATATATTAATCATAAAATAAAAAAATTTAATGTATTTTGAAACCAAAATTATTCCTCTTTATGGTTATAGAAACCCAGAAAATAAAATTGGAGTATAAAATAGAATTGGAAAAGATCGAACATTTTCAGAGCAATTTAATGCAATGTACGCGTATACACATACACACACATAGCACGCGGATGCGCGATAGCGAGACCGACCGACACGACGACGACACGAAGTCGCAAACTGTCGAACAATGCGCCACGTTCCCGAAGCATCGAACAAAATGCATTTCCACGGTCGGGCGTCGTCGCGGCGCGCAACCCGATTCATTGACCCGCCGAGGAGACACCCGTCGACGGGAAACAAAGAGCCGACGAGACAAAAGCTCTCGCGACGAAGTGCTTACATTCTTACATGCGATCGGTGGCACACTCGACGCCGACATTCGCGGAAAATAAAGGCCTAAAAGGACTGGTATAAAAAAAAAAAAGAGTCGAGACGAATGAATTTATTACAGAAATATGCACGCATTCACGATTTCCAGATCAATATTTGCTTACCTCGTCGAACGAAACGATAATCCTTGTAAAATTTCAAATCAAATTCTAATCTAGTGATGAAGATCTAGTGAAGAAGTCAAAAAATATTATCAAAGCGTTGAAGAAAAGCAACATATTTCGAAATTAGCAACTTTTCAATAAAACATTTTTTAAATCGTGAGCATCTTAATTAGGATAATAAATATGTGTAACTTCACTTTCTTTCCATGTTATCATTTCAAAATTATATGTATTCCTTAAAACTATATGTCATATGAGTTTTTAAAATTTGAATATTGCAACCCTAATGCCAATTTTTTTATTTGTATCACTTTTCTATCAGTGCGACTTGTCATAACTTTTAAATTTTAATATACACTTCATTGATGACACTAAATTCCGTATCGCGACTTCGAATTAAGGAAGTTTTTGTTTCTAAAATTTAATCCGCGAGAAATATTTTATTTTCCACAGTTCGTAAGATGGAAGCTTAATATTATATTTTCCATTCTCCCCTCCTCCCCCATCGCAACATTTCGCAAATTAATGGATTTTAAGAAAAAAATTGAAAAAAACAGCATTTTATAGATTATATATCATGCAATAAATTCGATTCGTAAAGTCAAAGAGTCAAAGAATACAAAAGAACTATTTCGAACTAATCAAGATTCAGTATCGTACGTGCAATGCAGTTCGAACGCACAAATCCCATGAAAAATACGTGCTATTTTAAACGGCCGGAACATCTCTTCGTTACTTGAAAATTATTCGATCCGATGTCGATTCTGAGGTTTATACGAAAGGTGAGGTACATTTATACTGGAATAGATCAATTTCGTGAGATACATTCGTCTCAATGAACGACCGTTACCTTGATAATGTTCATAAGTCGCGAAATATAGAAAAGTCAAGCACTCGCGATCCAATTATCGTCGAGTTTTTCATAGAGAACAACGCGTCTTTCAGATATATTGTATCACTAGCAACTTGTCGCTTTCGCGTCTCGAAGGATAATACGTTGTCACGTGTCTCACCTGCCCGCCCCACCACCACAGTCTCGCCGCGCGAAAACATCAAGATAACTACGTAAACAATAGGTCGTACGCGCCGCGTCTATCAGACAACACAGCTGCTACACAGTAAAAAAACATTTTGTATTTGCATTAAAAACCGTCCACTCACATTTTTGTGCAAATTTTCTCTGTTAAATTTTTAACATATCCGAATATTAATTTTACACACTTTAATTATATTATTTACATATTGTGTAAATTAATATTCAATATTTTTAGTGACAAATTTATGAATAAAGAAACATATAATATGTAAAAATTTAATGTATTTTAAAACAAATTCTAAGATACATGAATAAAATATGCTCTAATTTATTTAACATATCGTAAATATTAATTTTACTGAAAAACTATGGTTTGCTTACGAACTGTGTTAGTGTTACATTTATGTGTTAATTTTTGTCATAAAATTTATGTTATTTTCTAATGTATTCGTTTTGTATTAAATTAATAGAGAAATTTGAGTGGACCGTTTGAAAAATGTTAAATTTAATGTAAATGTTCCAACTGTGTACAAAATATTTCATGTATAGTAATTCATTCGCATTCAGGAAAAAGCAGTTCTGTAACTATTGTAAAATTCTTTAATATAATTAGTTTATACACTCAGAACCACAACGAGGAACTAATTATAAGAGCAAAAACTAATAATCTTATATTAACCTTTAAGTAGTGCTCGGAACACTCAAGAAATTTTTTATTTTTACATTATTAAATTCATAATATCAAATTACATTCAATTTCAGTTATTTTTAATCATTTCTATAAGTTGCTTGCTCCTACTCAATAAATTTAAGAATAAAGTTAAACAATTTAAGAACCTCAATATGTATTAAACTTGACTCAAATTTAGTTAATTATTTACTAAGTGCGTACGTTAATATGGACATTGTTTACTTTGAAATTAACTGCAAAAACGGATTAATTCACATTTTGATACACATAAAGTTAAAAATAACAAAATGTTATTTAACTCAAAGGATTGAGGTGCCTGTGTTGTTCCTTTGATATTTATAATGTATAATTATACTTTTTAGCAATAACATTTAATATAATTAAATTTATATTATTTATAAGATAGAGGAATATAAAAATAATTTAAACTTTAAAGACAAAAGTACACGACAAAATGTCGAGCGACTGTTGCGTCATAGAAAGTCCACAGCAATGTATGTAATCGCACACATGTGTACAATACAATTTTCATTATTTTTCATAAACGACACAGTCGACTGACATTTTGTCTATCATGCGTCCTTGACTTTGAAACTTCTGGACAATATTTTTTCCTTTTCAAGATCCTTTTCCTTTTCATATTTAAGATAACTATGGAGTGCAGTGGCTCCCATACATCTACTTACTTAAAGGTTAAAGAATCTTACACAATTGCAAAATTGTACTTTCCATTGAACGCAGCTAATAATAAACACGTACGAATATTCGGTATTCCACAAAAATTTATTATAATCTTTCAAGAATGTATCGCGAGCACATAAGCTTCTTCGTTAAGATTCACGGATTATTAATTACGCTTCACGGGATAGATTTGGAAGTCTGATGGAAATGATACCTGTATCTTGAATCGATAAACGTAGTGCAATTTGATATCACACGCGATATTATGTTCGTATCAGCTGTCTCTCCTTTCTTTTTTACAGCATTGTGACGATTCAATTTTGATTATGTTGTTACACAGATAAAAACAATAAATATATTTCTTCAATTCTTCTCCACCTTCCAACAGTGATTCGGTCTCGGACTTCTTACCATGCAATTTACCACCGCGGTCAATTTAATGCTCGGCTGATTACGACGTAAAGAAAAGATTCCGATCCGGTCACATAATAAACATTATGTTACGAATTGTAAG